CTCTAATTGTTTGACGTTCTTTTTCCGGTACTTGTTCTTCCCTCCTTCAGACGAACTAATCCCTTTGGAGAAACCGATGATGACTGTTCCTCAGACAACGACGGTAACAGTTTTTCTTCTTCCACGTGAATCTCTGGGCCTCGTGTTAGAGACAAAACAAACTGTGCATCTTTTTCTGTCTGTCATTTTCCAAAGACTCTCTCCTGCAGCAAGTGTTTGTCGTTCGCTTCCTGGGCTCCATGGCCGTTCGCTGTGGCGACAACCAGGAGGTGATCTACGAGGCCATGAGGCAGGTGCTAGCTGCTCGAGCCATACACAACATCTTCAGGACCACCGAGTCCCACCTGATGGTCACCAGCAGTAACCTCAGGTAAACATCATCATCGACATGGAGACGTCAGAATGACTCCGCTGTTTCTTGGTAAATAATTAGAGATGCACCGGTTGCAATAATGTTTTGTAGGAGGACACAGTAGGAGGAAGAGACTAAATAGGAGAAAAACATATTTACAGATTTAAATGTACACACTTGGAATGGAACAACAAAATCCAGTTGCACAACCCTCTTCTAACTGAACCTCAGTAAGATTCTCAGCCTGACCTTATAAAGACAGTTTGAATTTTAATCATCAGCAGGCTGCGTCACCAATGATATGAATTAAGAAACCTAAATGAAATTTAAGTCTGCAACTCAGATGTTGTACAGTGGACCTTCCATTGTACAACATCTGAGTTGTTCAACAAAACACAGTGATTGGTTCTCAAGAACCAGTGAGTTACATGATGTGCTTGTATAACTGTGTCCTTTTAAATCCATCTGCTAAAAGCAAATGATGTAACTCAGCCAGGAGACGGACAATGTCATGAAGATGTTTCTGTTTCATAACAGGTTGATTGACCCCCAGACTCAGGTTACAAGAATAAGTGTAAGTACTGAACAAAAGTGTTCTGTATTAACTGACAATTGTGGGAATAAAATTAATCTCCACCTTCTCTCTTCACAATTCTCTCAGTTCCAGCTTGAAGACGTGTGTCAGTTTGCAGCCCACCAGGAGAATGGGAGGCTGATGGGATTTGTGGTGGAGGGCAGAGACTGGACTGATGGAGACGAGGAAGGAGAGGCGTCGTACAGCGCCTTTGTGTTTGAGAGCAACACGGAGGGCGAAAAGGTTGATAAACTGATTAGAAAAATCAAAAATGAAATTTGTTTCATTTGTGGCAGAATTTGCACAATTACACTAAAGTCTTTTGTTATCTTTTGTTGACAGATATGTTACACCATCAACTTGGCTAAGGACATTACTGAGGCTAAGAAGGTAACGCCCACGAGAGGTCGCCTTTGAAAGTAGTACTTCTTAGAAAATCAAAAATCACATTTGATAGATGACAACAATTTTGTTTGATGTTCCTCGACAGCAGGGTCGCTATAAGCAGTTCAATACTTAAATCTACAAGCTAAAACCACCTGTAACCACATCACATCATCGTTCACTTGGAGTCTAGTCTAACAAAAAATCTCCACCTAATATTGCGCCAAAATTAATCATTCCTTTTTTACTTACATTTATGCATTTACGCTTTTATTCTAAGCGACTTTATTACTGTTTTATCATTGTTTCACTACATTCTCACCTAACAAAAACCCAACAGTCATTTTCACAGTAGTTACACTGCTAACCGCTGGAGGGCAGCAGCACCTACTTAAACTGCCACAAAGAAGCCAATAGAGCAGATCAAAACTATACAGAAAATAAACGACAGAAAATATTAAACAGAGCCTTCTTTTTACATAACAAGAGTCTAATTTCCTACGGTTATTTTTATTTTTCTCCTCAGGATCCTGAGGCTCTGGCTGAGCTGATGAAGAACATGCCGTTTACCAATGATGGCAAGTTTCTGCTGCTAGAACAAGAGACAGACATGAGCAATGGAGCCGGACAAGAAGATCTGGAGTCAGAGGCCTAACACTAGACAGAATGAAACGTAAAAACCAGACCTGGATAACTGGCTGAGTGTCACCCAGGAGAGAGGAAGGTTTCCCCCTGGGTGGAGGTTTTCTAACTCTGGTACTGACTCACTGACACACAGTGTAGTACTCTCCCACTGACCCAGCGTTACTGCATCTCTAGTTTTAGGTTGAGAAAGGAAGAAAACAACATTGGCTGAGTCTAATGCATGGATACTTTCCCACAGCTTAGCAGCGCTGGTCTGTTTTTACACCCTGGTCTAAAGGGAAACTTCTGAGGTACTTGTTTTTTTGAGTCCCTCAACATCCATCTGACCACAAGGTCAACAAATCAGTCATTAATATGAGTTTCATTAATATTTTTAATAGTTTAAAGTCTGTTTAAACAGCTTATGTCCACATAGTTGTAAACCTGTACGCTAAATATTCAAGACAGTTCGTCGATGCACAGAAACAGTTTTTTGCACTTTCAAGGTTTTGATGTGTTTTGATAATGAAGGGGAAAAATAAAAGTTAGTCTCTAAGGAATGCACTAAACGATATGATTGAGGGACCGTCTGCTTACAATTCCTGACCTTTAATCTTCTCTGCTGACTGGTGTCTGTTGCATTGCTTCTCGTTGTTACTCTGTAAATGTACAGTATGTGTTGAAACAGGATATCAGCAAGAGTGAAGTTAATCAGACTACCTTAAATCCATTTTTTAACCACAGAAATGGACTAAACCTCACATTGGACCAACACATTTTTTCTTTCTTATAAATTCTGTTTTAAGTTTCATGTTCTTCAAAAACCTCTCTATTCTTTTGTACCAATAAAAAGAAACTACTTTGCACTTCATTTCCTGATAGTCTGTAAATATATGACGTCTGATTGCCTTGACTATGTTCAATCAATCGTCTGCATTAAAAGCATTCAGACAATACTTGGACTGAAGTCTTGAGTTTTTCTTTGTACCTAAAGGGTATGGAAAACTTTTTTTCTGTTATTTTAACTGAGAATAAACATGCTTTTTTAACATTTCATTTGTTTATCAAAAATTATTTACATTATAAAATAGCTTTAGAGTTCTTTTTTATTTGTATTTACTCATAATTACACTTACAATCTACAAAATGTAATGCACAATGATGTGAATTAAACTCAGTTTCAGTGTTAACCCCTTCCTTGATATGCAGCCTAATAAACAGTCTGAGATGAAGGTTTGGTTTCATTTCTGAAGTACATGACATATTCTATGTTTATGTCTAAATTTATGTTTTTTGTTTCAAAACTCTAGGCAGACAAATGTGATTTGGATAAACTGAAATGTTACCAAACAGCTCAGGACAAACACTCAGGAGTCTTCGTAGTAGTTGTTGAAGTTGATGCGGAGCAGAAAGTCCTCCAGATGAGGCTGGTAGCCTCGGTTCACCAGCTTGGTCACCACTGAGAAAACCAGACAAAGAAAAGTTCCTGTTAATTTAATTACCTGAGGTAAGTTTTGGTAAAACAATTACAACTACAAAACCGAATGGTTTAAATACATTTTAACTTCTTTTTTTTAAAACTCGAGAGAATGAAACCTGCTGTTAGTATTACTAGAAGGAAATCAAACACGATTACCCATGTTGTTTACCTTTGAAGAGGAAGTGAGAGTAGTATTTGAAGGTGTTGTACGACTGTTGCATGGCGACGAAGCTGGGGTGAACCGTCTCGCCGTGCTGATTGTCCCAGGGCTGAGCGATCAGCTGAGCTCGGAACTTCAGGATCAGACTGAAAATGCTGTGGATGAGGTTCATGACCGGGGCTGCTTTGTCTGTCAGCAAACCCCTAAGGAGGCCAGAAACGAGGAAGAGGAAGTCAATAACGAGGCACAGAATGTTGAATAACCCTCAGAACAAATTCTTATAATTCATTTCACAATAAAAGCCTAAGTATGTTAACATAATGCAATAAAAACAGCAGTTTATTCTAAAACTAGAAAACTAAACTGCACAATTTAAAACTATATGAATACATAGTGCACTACTGTGTCTCACCTGAAGATGGCTCTGTTGAGATAGTCTGCGTGTGTGCGGTGGATGGCGTCCAGGTCGCTGGCGGTGGCCAGCTTCGCGGTGAACTCACTCCAGGACACCTGCAGGATCTGGTTGGCGATGTACCCCTGGATCACTTTGACAAAATGCTGCATCTCGTGTCTGTAGAGCTGCAACTGACGGAACTGCACCGAGCGACCAGCTCCTTTGACAAGTGCTGGAGGAAGCAGAGGTTTGATCAGCACCACCTTCACTAATGACTGTAAATAACACGACATTAGTCCGCAATCATTTAGACAATTACAATTTAGAATTAATATAGGTATCAAACATATAGCTATAATATGGCTATAATAAAAAAGTATATATGAAAACACACCAAAAAATATGTAATGGAACTACTTGATTAATAACAAGGCAGCTGTGGGTTAATGGCAATTAATCATAAGCCTGAACAGAAAGACAAATTACAGCAGGTAGATGAAAGTTTTACAGTTTTAATTTGTGACTAATAAATATGATGAAGTTACTTATATGGAAAAATGTGCAGAAAATCACACAAATGCTTTTCATCATAAAACGGTGAACAGTGACAATATGACCCCGTGGACATCTTTCATAACCTGGAGGAATCTAAAGTGGGACTTTCCACATAATCACCCACTCTCTTCTTCTCACCTGTCCTCTTGAGATGAAACCAGACGTCACGGAGGCTCCACACCATGTGTTTGAGCTGCAGCAGGAAGGAGAAGAGGCGGTTGTATTTGTTCATGCAGCTGTCCGTGATGATGATGTTCAAAGGCCAATCCACCTGGGGGGGTGACACCAAGGAAGACGGGTGATAAGAGAGAGAAAGTTTGATAAAGTTTTTAATGTGGAGGTGTGAGCGTGCAACAGAAAGCAAATTGGGAGAAAGAAGGTGGAGGTAAAATAGGAAGAGGGAGGAGAGAGTGACAGATGAGGCTACGAGGGAGGTGTGAACACAAGGATGCTGATAAAGAAGGTGAGATTGGTGAGAAGCAAGGGGTGGAGGTAAGGAGGAAAGGGGAGGTTGGTGGGTATGATGGAGAGTGGCTGAAACAGAACACGAGGCAGGGAAAGACTGATAGAAGAACGCAGAACACAAGACGAAGAGAGGACGAGCCAGAAAGAGAGAGAGAGGAGGCTGACAAATGAAGATGAAGACAGGACCGTATGGACAGACTCTGTTACTCTGAGTGTCACCCAGGAGACAGGACTCCATTCAGTTTAATACATTCAAACATTTGAGCCTGTGATTGGATCATTTCTTCATAGCTGTGACTGTTTGTCAAAAGATAAAAAGGTTAAGGCAGACACAAGCAAAACTCTGGAGCAAAACGGGTTTTTTCCATTCCAAACTTCTATTCCTCCTTGAAAGTACTATTTAAAGGTAAAGGCAAAGGTAAACCATCCACTCATCCACCAGATTTTCTGGTCTAAAGTGTGGACTTCATTTACAGTAGAAGCCTGGTTTCCATCACCTAAAAATTAACTTTGGCCTCATCAGATGGAGCTTCATTCATGAATCTTCTCCTGTTTAGTCATTTTCAGAATCACCAGGGCGTACAGCCAGGGACCTGGGAGAGTTTACTACTGCCTGGAAGACACAAATGACTTTTCCCATTGATATTCCTATCTATAGTTAATTCAACAGTGCCCAATAACACATTTTGCATGTTTTCTGGACTGTGGGAGGAAACCAGAATCCCACATCTTTCTTTCACTGTGTTGGTTTCTTCTCCACATGACATCAGCAAATTTCAGTTTTGCTTAAAAGAGTCTCTTTAGCAGAGATGGAGTTTTTTTTTTTTTTTTTTTTTTGCATGGTCTCTGACCTCAGCTTGTTCTTGTGCACAACTAAATTTGACACTTTATCACCAGACAGGGCCAACTTATTATATTTTTATAATATATATATATTTATATTATATTATTATATTTCTGTATGTCATTCTCTGGAAAGGTTCACATCTGACAGCTCACTGCGTTCAGTTGGCCTCACCCTGTAGCGCAGCTCCAGACAGTTGAGGGAGTCTGGGGCGTGGGGATGAAACACCTCTGGGAAGAAACGAAGGGCGAATGTGAAGTTTTCAGCCAGGGGAGTGTCTCCATGTAAGCTGTACTGCAGGGCTTTACTGAGGATGGAGTTCAGGACCAGAGGAGTCAGCAGCTCACTGGGTGTCTGTCCACTGCCCAGCTGGAGGGGGGAGACAGCCGTCAACAACACTACAGCAACAGGTCAAACAAGGGCAAAGCAGTGCTACATTTACAGCCGTGGATTCAAAGTAGGCTGGGAAGTTGGCAGGGTTTAAGAGACAAGTTCTCAGTGCAAAATCAAAAATCCACAGGCTGCTGATTGGAATGATTAATTCCCATTCCGATTGATGGTGTGTGCTAATCAGGGAAATCAGCTGGCGTAGTCTTTGGCTGGAACAAAAGCCGTCTGTTTCCTGGGCCTCTGGAGACAGATGGACGGAAATGTTGCTGCAGTACAACAACAAGGTGGTGAAAAAAAAGAAAAGTCCACTTTTTAAAACGTGTGAAAAAGTTTGGTCTCAACTACTGGAGGTCAACACTTGTTTCACATTTTGTAATAATAACCAAAAATCTGTTGTCTCTCTTAAAAAGCCTACAGCTGTTTGTTGGCTCCAAGTTATTTTAATGTTGCTCAGACTCTGAATATTAAATGAGTTTTTTCAATTTTTAATGAGAAATTTTGCCATGGCCATGAAACTAGACCACTATTAAACATCATTGTCCTTTAGAATTATTGTCATAATAACAATCTTGTCTCCTCTTTCTTTACCATTCTGTCTCTTTCTTACACTTTACAGCACAACTACAGCACTACTACTGACAAAATTAACTTTACACACAGTTGTGTTTTTAAAAACACCTGTGTAATAATACCATAATAGTCAAGATTACTTATATTAATGTTTTTTTTCCCCAGAACATTATCTATTAGATTTCTTCCAACAACAAACTATTGAACACCATTTCAGTGCCCACTTGACACCTGTTCAACTGCATTTTTTTTTTAAATGCAAAAATGTATGTTATTTTCCACATGGCAGCATATTAATGCTTTTAAGTATGAAGACATAATGAGGAAGTCTCACTAAGTGTAGTTTAATCTGAGCACTGAGAAAAATAAATGTGATAAATGTTACAAGTTTGTTGGTGCCAGACAGTCTGCCCTGTGATCCGCTGAGGGATTTTCTCAAAGTGGCTGATGACGTTTGAAATGTGACAGTCCAAAGAGATAAAATATAAAATTTACGGAAAACTTTAACCATGCTAGATGCCAGAGAATATTCTGGTTTTGGTTGAAACGACAGTACGTAAGGACAACCACTCTTTACAGTTAAGGAATAGAAAAGAACATCTCTGAACAAGTAATTCTTCAGAAGAACGCCACACCTGGTGAATGTGCTGTCACTAAAGAAGAGAACACAATCCTTCACTTCAGACAAACTCACAAGAAATAGACAACAGAAGACTAAAAAAAAAATGTTCCCTGATCTGATCAAGTTGGATTTTTTCTGTGACAGTTTTTCTAAGGGCAGGGTCAGAATCTGGTGTGAACATCATGGAAATGTGCATTGTATGATTAGTTCGATTTAGATTAGTAGATATCCTTGTCATACACCTTGGTTTCTCTAGTATCAAATACCCTTGATGTCACAGCTAACCTCAGTACTCTTATTGAAGCCATTTTGTAAGACCATAGTTTCAAATCATCCCTCAATTATCATTTGGAAGTGGAACAGAAGATTTGTATAATGACGTTGAAGGTAACACTTATGCAAAATGTAAAAGGATTGAAAATCCAGTCAGAAGAAGTAAGGGGATGTACATAATAAAGTGGTCGTTCTTTGTACAT